CCCCGCCCCCTGGTGGGCTGAGCTGGCCACACACACACACACACACACACACACACACAAATAAAAAAAAAAAATTTAAAAAAAAATCTCTGCATTAACAGTATGTAGTATATAATGTGGGCTTAATAAATGTTAAATGAGTACATACCAAGATGGAACTTATATTTCCTAAAATCTGTCATAACTCCAAATATTCATGACACTTTAAGAGTTACTGGTGGACATAGGGGCTGGGGAGATAGCTCAGTGGAATAACTGCTTCCCTGGCAAATGCAAGGACCTGAGTTCAATACCTGTTCCACCAAAAAAAAAAAAAAAAAAAATCAGTAGTGGACATAGGCAAAGTAACAAAATTTGAACAACTCAATCCATAGCTGAGGTCAGTACATTTATTTTAACTCTTATAGTAGTTAAGTGTCTTTGTATTTGGTTTGGCAACACTTTTTGGTGCTTTTTGCTGGTCATGTTGCCATTTAAAATTGTTCCCACTTGGGCATGGCTATGAACTGTAAGTCGAGCCCAATCTGGATAACTTGGTGACTATGACCTTGTCCCTAAACAAAAAAAATTAAAGAGTTGGAGAGACAGCCTCATGGGAAGGCTCTGGGTTCAATTTCCAGTACTGAAGGAAAAAAATGGGCAAGCATACCAAGTGTGGTCTGGTGTTCCTAGTGGATGCACAGCAATGGTGTACTTTGGATTTCAGAAAATGTGCCACACAAGTTGCATTTAAGCATTTATTATAGTGCTGCTGGCAGCAATTCAGAGTTAATAAATCGACAACCAAGTGTCTTTAAATAGAAATACACTCTGTAAAAAAAAGGTTCTGTGTTTATCAGGTGATGTTGTGACAAAGGCTCAAAAGAATCTATATTTTCTGTAAGGGTAATAATTCAGTATTTACTAATTCAACACTGAATCTTTACAAAATATAAAACTGTGAATAATGAGATTTGACTGCATGTCTCAGAAAACTATCTATCTGAAATTACTGAACACAGTAATGGCAGAAAAGTAGCACTACTAGCACAGGGAACAGATTTCTAAATTAAACATCACTGGGCTGGGAAGACAGCTCAGTGGTCTAAGAGACTGTCTGGCAAGCACAAGAACTCAGGTTCAATCCCCAGCACCGCATACCATGCTGCCCTGGAACCCTGGGAATGCTGTGCTAGCCCCTGAAACTGGATGTGGTGGTACATACCTGTAATCCCAGCACTGGGGAAACTGAGACAGAAGGATGACTAGAAATCCAAGATGTGTAGTGATAAGTAAATAAATAAATTAAACACCACTTCAAACTTTAGCATTTAACTCCTTTGGCCTTTGAGTTTCTGAAGTGTGTATTTTTTTGTGTGTGTTAAACTGGTGCATTTTTTGTGTTATAGTGGCAAAGTCTTCCATTGCATCATTTTGAGAACAGTCTTTCCAGTTCTAAAACTACAGTAAGTGGTACTTACTTTGAAGGATTCCCACTCTCTCTTTATTAAGATCTTGCTGACTGCTTCTTTGTTCCAACTGAGATAAGAAGATATTCTTGTGAGACCTAAATAAAATGCAAAAGCTTGTGACTGATTAAAAAAAAAAAAAAAAAAACGAGTAATAAACAGGAGAACAGGCCCCTTGTCTTCAGATCTGCCCTTCTTGCTTTGGTGTTCTCCTTGCCCACGTCCCACATTAACCTTCAGTCCCTTAAGGTTTCTGTTGTCAGGCTTCTCTTTCTCATCCCTTTTTTCCACCTTATTTAGAAATTAAGATTGTTGGCCTTTAAATTAGATTAAGAAACAAAAAATTTTCAAACTATATACTTTTATGCCTATAAGTGTTTTCCCTCTTTTTTTTTTTTTTCTCTCTTCTGTTGTGCTCTCTAGAGTGCCATTCTCAATCCCTTCACTAGTTTCTCCATCTCTCTTCTTGGAATGGTATTTTTCTCCCTGTGGCCTTCTCAAGTAGACACTGGCTTAATCTTCCAACTTCTCTAAATTAGAGCACCCTAGAAATGGGTCTTTATAGTTGACCTTTTGTAGTGCTGGGGATCAAAGCCAGGGCTTCACTCATGCTAGGCTCCAATATGGTTCTCATTTCCTAAGGAATGACACTTCAGAATCATGCTTCCAAAAAAACTCCAGCCATGAAGAATCATGTTATTGAGTTATTACCACCTTCTACATGCTTCCAAGCGATATCCATGACTCATAAACTTTTCTTGCACCAAGTCTGGTTATTATGAAATATTTCAGTTTCCCTGAGCAAGCCGCAGAATATCCTAGCTTATCAAACACACCCTCCAGGAATCACCTCCACAACAAGTTAGCTGCTCCCTCCCCCGGTCCTACTTAGCATCCCAAGTACTCTATTTAAATAATTCATGCAGATCTTCTCTTCTCTAGACATGTTAAGTAAACTCTTATTCTCTGCCTGTTTCACCATCTTACTTCCATGACAAAATAAGAGTTTACTAAACATCTACTTAAGGTGAAGTAGTCCCTACTTGCCTTTCTGATAATGGCCTTACAGGAACCATGTGAAACAACCCAGGCCCCCAGAACTCTATAGTCTGAAATTTCAACACATCAGGACCTTGACTTATCTACTTAAGATCCTGAGATATTTTTAATCATAACATTCATAATGCAATCACGAGAACATATTTATGTCTAAAGACAGAAGAAAAAATATCAATTTACTTCACCTCAATAAGGATACTATAGAGGCTGGGGAGATGGCTCAGTGGAATAAGCTCTCCCCTGGCAAACGCAAGGGCCTGAGTTCAATCCCCAGTTCCACCAAAAAAAAAAAACCAAAAAAAAAAAAAAAAGATGATACTATACTATCTGAGGATTCAGCTATTGCAGAGTATAACTAACACTTTAAAAGAAGAAAAATTTATGAGAGCATAAACAGAAGAACTGTAACAGGATAGCACGTTTTACAGTCAAGTCATATTTCAATTCACAAAAAAATCTTTGGAAATAGTGCCTGGTTACAACATGGCTAATTTTTGCTCTGATATACTTCTAATAGGTGTAAAGCAAACTTCACAAAACAGAAGCTGAGCATAGTTAATACTGTAAATGAACATTCACAATAACACTCTTCAAAAATTCAATTCTTTTTTGGGGGGGCAGACTAGCCCCTCAAGTGTGGGGCTGGCATGGCATGTGGTGTGGGGGATTGAACCATAGTTCCCTGCACCTGCCTAAGCAAGCGCTTTAGACCGATGAGCTTTTGTTCTTTTTGGTGGAACTGGAGATTGAACTCAGACCCTTGCGCTTGCCAGGGAAGCACTTACTCTCTTGAGCCATCTCCCGGGTCCCAGTCACTGAGCTATCTTGTGGACTCTAAAAACTCAATTGCTATTTCCATGAATTCGCTAAAGTTTTAATGAAAATAAATAAATCAAAAAGACAAAATTAATACAGGGCTGGGGAGATAGCTCAGTGGAATAAGCGCTTGCCTGGCAAGTGCAAGGCCATAAATTCAATCTCTGGGAACACCTAAATAAGTAAGACAAGAAGTTTTAATGAGGTACAATGTATATACCAAATACACTGTGTATGTTAAATGTATATCAGTGCATGAGTTTAATTTTCATTTCTTGTCCTACCCATCAATCTTCAATTGAACTTTTAAACAGTTTTCTTTGATGCAGGTACAATAGCTTTCACAATCACAGCATAACCATACTCACACGCCTTTAATACTTCTTTTCTGAAAAGACATTTTCTTTTCTACCCATCCTTAAAAATAAAAACCACTCCAAGTCCCTGCTCAAATCTGACATCTCTGAGGCTGCTTATCTCAGTTCCTTCATCTATGATCTTTAGCAATACGTTATGAATTACCTGCTACCATGTTTCCTGCCTATAATTCTTTTTATTTTTTCCCCAGAACCGGGGATTGACCTCAGGCCCTTGCACTTGCCAGGGAAGTGCTTATTCTACTGAGCCATCTCCGTGGTCCCTCCTGCCTATAATTCTTGTGCCTTGAACAGATAAGCTTTCTCTGAGCAAAATATTTATTTTATTTACTCTTAACAAAAATTTCAATTTTTCTTGCATGTGTACAACCTCACAATCAAACTTCTGATGCTATGCTTGCTTCATTTGCATCCTATGGATTAGCTAACCAAGAATATGTGGGCTGGGGGCCTGTCCCTTAGCTCAGTTCTTTAAGTGGCTGCTTCAACAAAGCAGTCAGGCTCAGCTTGCTGTGGTTCGATCCCCACAACTCAAGCCAGCCAAACCTGCCCTCAAGGCATTCAGAGAAAAAAAAAAAATCCTTATTCCATTTTACTACCAATTTGATTTGAAACTATCTCATTGCTATTTGTTTCTCAATAAAATTATGGAAAAAAGAAAAAAAAATAAGAATATGTGGGCTAGGGATATAGCGCAGAAGCATAAGGGCCTGCTTGGCAGGCATATAGTCCTGAGTTCGATCCCCAGTACTGGAAACAAAAAAAAGATTTCGGCATCTATGAGATAGACCTTGAATTGCAAAAAAGAGCTTGTTTAAAAAAGAATAAAACAAACAAAAGCAAAGAATGAATCCTAAATGGAACTAAGCAAGGGTATATAAAGAGAAGTATTTAAAGATCAGTGAAAAATTCTGTTGCTAGAAACTCACTCATGAGGGAAGGAAAGAATAGCCCCTCCCTTTTCTTTGGTAGTACATATGTGGAGTCCATATTGTTTATATTCCTTGTGGGGAGTCGGTACATATACATAATTCCTTCTTTTTTAAAAAGTTTTTATTTATTTATTTATGAGTGTGTGTGTGTGTGTGTGTGGCCAGCTCAGCCCACCAAAGGGTGGGGCTGGCTGGCATGTGGTGCTGGGGGATTGAACCGAGGTCCCTGTGCTTTGCTAAGCTTGTTCTAAATAGGTGCTTTAGACCACTGAGCCATCTCACCAGCCCCATAATTCCTTTTTTAAATCCCCTTTCTCTTCTCTCCCTCCCTGACCCATTTCCTGATCCCCTTTCTTTTTAGTCATGTTTACAAAACCAGCTCCTTGGATGGAGCCAGTTCAGGTACGTACACATCATACACATCTAAACTTTTTTCTTTTTCTTTTTTTGTACTCAGTACAGGGTCTCACTACATAGATCAGACTTGTACTGATCCTCCTGTTTACAGCCTCCCAAGTGCTGGGATTACAGGTACGCATTACCATGCTAGTCTCAATCCCTGTCTCAGCGGGCACGGCAAGCTGGGGCAGGCACTTTAATTCACTGAGCTATTTGGTCCTCCTTTTTCCGTTTGCATCCCCTCCTTTCCTTTCCCTCTTCCTATTTGAGAAAGCTTATCTCCTTACTTCCTATTATCTGCTTGTATTTTCTATTTATACTTTGGGTTTCTCACATAAGAAATCATGCAATATTTACCATCAGAAGGTATGTTTCAGTGGCCTCAGTGGAGGTTTGAAATTAAGGATAGTAGCAAAATACATTCTGTGGAGTTCTCCCTTATCCATCGTTTTGTAATTTTCGTTACTAGCTAGCCACTACAGCCTGAAAATATTGAATGAAAAATTGAAGGAAAAAAATTCCTACTAATAGTGTGATGAAATTCTGCATTCTCTCTACTCTGTCCTGCAAGGGACATGTACCAGTCCAATGTTCAGTGTATCCATGCTATATATGCCATCAATTCATTAGTCAGTAGATCTCTCAGTTATCAATGCTGGTGTTAAGTAATCTTGTAAACACTTTTTTAACTGTAACTTTATTTGCAGTGCTGGGGGTCAAATCTAGGGTTTCATAATGCTTATACAAGTACTTTGCTTCTGAGTATACCCTTAGCCTCTTAAGTGATGCTTTTTACTTAACAATGGCCCCTAAGCACAAAAACAGATGATACAAGCATTCTGATATGCTAAAGAGAAGCCATAACATGATTCCTTGAAGTAAAAAAGTAAAAGCTTTCAACTAAGAAGAGAAGTCTATGCCATGCTCTAAAGCACTTTTATAAAAACAAATATTTGAAATTCTTAAGAAAGAAAATAATATTCAGGCAGATACAGGGGCATAAGCCTCTAATACCAGCTACTCAGAAGGTTGAGGCATGAGGACTAAACTGGAGGCCAACCCAGGCAACTCTGCCTCAACGTAAATAGAAAGGGCAAGGGATACAGCTCAGTAGTCAGGTGATCATAGTACTAACCAAAATAAATAGAAAAAAACCCCCACATTTTTGTTGCAGTTTACTGTCACAGTGCATGGCAAGAAAGGGTATTAAGCTTGTGGGTGGAATCTGTTTGATGGCGCATGCCTATAATCCCAGTACTCTGTGAGGCTGAGGCAGGAGGATAGCAAGTTCAAGCCCAGCTTGAGCAATTTATCAACACTTTGTCTCAAAAGGGAGTGGATGGGGTTGGGAAGGCCATGGATATGATGCCCAGTACCAAAGAAACCCCAAACGGGTCAAAGACATAACAGAGCTCTATCTGAAGGCTACATGTCATACCCTAATGCGCTGTAAGCACAGCAGTTTCCTTTTATACCTGGGAGATAAGCCCTCGGTAGAAGCCTAAAACTAGATAGTACTGAAGACTATAAATGAGCATTTTTCAAAAACTGTCAACAGTAACTTTTGCAGTTTGAGATCAGCAAAACTGTCATAAATTGTTACTTCTGTACAATTTACAGAATCAACAAATGAAGCTATTTTTTTTAATCAGGTGAATAAATTTCATCTTCCCAAGCACTTAAAGGAAGCCTCCATTTTATGGTTTTCTGCGATATATCCAAACTGCCAACATCACTATTTTTTATAGTTTGGGGCATTAAGCAAAAAAAAA